ATTGTGACTGTCTCATGTGTATTAGCTTTAGGGGGCACAAGTTACATTTTACTAATTATTGCTCTTTCTATATCTGTAAGACCCGCAAATCACCATTTGAAGAGCAACTATGAGCTTACCCAAGATGTCTGTGAAAATGACAGCAGCCCTGCTCCTGCTACAGCTGAGTGGCTTCTTTGGATCTGGGAATGCTGGGAAGGTGCTGGTGTGGCCAATGGAATACAGTCATTGGCTCAACTTAAGGACAATCCTGGATGAACTTGTAAAGAAGGGCCATGAAGTGACAGTTCTGATACCCTCAGCCTCCCTTTCTTATGAGGTTGGAGACACATCTGCTATTGAATTTGAGAAATACCCTTCATCCACTTCCCTGGATGATGTGGCAGCACTTTACATGGAATCAATCAGAAAATGTGTTTATGAGCTGCCAAAGCAATCATTTTGGGGATTCTTTGTATTGTTGCAAGAAGTGGTTTGGGAAGATTCAAATTATTTTGAAAGTCTCTGCAAAGATGTAGTTTTTAACAAGGAACTCATGACAAAACTACAAAATTCAAGCTTTGATGTCATAGTAGCAGATCCCTTCGTGCCCTGTGGTGAACTGCTGGCTGAGATTCTCAAGATACCTCTGGTGTACAGTCTCCGATTCTTCCCTGGCTCCACACTTGAGAAGTACAGTGGAGGACTGCCACTACCTCCTTCCTATGTGCCTGTTGCTATGTCAGAATTGAGTGATCGAATGACATTCATCGAGAGGGTACAAAATCTGATCTATGTGCTTGCTTTTGACTTTTGGTTCCAAACATATAACGAGAAGAGATGGGATCAGTTTTACAGTGAAGTCTTGGGTAAGTGCCATGATCAACTGGTATTGTCGCATTCAAAATTTGCTGTGTCATTGAAGGGGAACTTGAAGCAACAGGATTGACAACAGACATATTTCTCTTTCCTAAGTAAAATGGTGAAAAAACTATGAAATTATCTGCCAATATCAAAGCATTGTAGAAAACCTTAGGTCCCAATGTCAACTGCAGAGCCTTGTCTATGACTTGCAAGGGACTCTTCAGAAAAGCACACACACAGAAAGCAAATCTTTGAGAATTTCTCTAAAAAGTAACAGATCGACAAGTTTTTTAACTTGTGGTTTTTTCTTCTTGTTTTTATTCTTATTTTTCTAAATTTTTTTAATTGATCTATGTATTTTTCTCTGCTCACCTCACCTACTACCCTATCCCATGATTCCCATGCTCCCAATTGACTCAGGATATCTTGTCTTCTTCTCCTTCCCATGTAGATTAGATCCATGTATGTCTCTCTTAGAGTCCTCTGTGTTGTCTAGTTTCTCTGGGATTGTGATTTATAGGCTGTTTTTATTTTTTGCTATATGTCTAAAAGCCACTTATGAGTGTGTACATATTTATCTTTCTGGATCTCTTACCTTAGTCAAGATGATGTTTCCTAGATTCATTCTCTTGTCCCCTAATTTCAAGATGTCATTTATTTATTTATTTATTTTTTTGCTGTGTACTACTCCATTGTGTAAATGTACCACACTTTCCTTATCAATTCGTTGGTCGAGGGGTATTTAGGTTATTTGCAGGTTCTGGCTATGACAAATGATAATGCTATGAACATAGCTGAGCTCGTATCCTTGTGGTATGATGGAACATCCTTAGGGTATACACCCAAAGTGGTATTGCTGGGTCTTGAGGTAGGTTGTTTCCTAATTTTCTGAGAAATTGCCATATTGATATGTATTAGAGGCTCTACCAGTTTGTACTCCCACCAGCAATGGAGGAGTGTTCCCTTTACCCCACATGCTCTCCAGCAAAAGTTGTCATCATTGTTTCTCATTTTGTCTTTTCTTACAGGTGTAAGATGAAATCTCAGAGTTATTTTGATTTGCATTTCTCTGATGGCTAAGGATGTTGAGCATTACAGTAATTGTCTTTCAGCCATTTTAGATTAATTTGTTGAAAGTGCTCTGTTTGGGTCTGTACCCCAATTTTTATTGGATTATTTGTTCTTTTGGTGACCAATTTCTTGAGTTCTTTGTATACTTTGGATATCAGCTCTCTGTTCAACATGGGGATAGTGAAGATCTTTTCCCATTCTGTAGGCTGCCATTTTGTTTTGTTGACTGTGTCCTTTGCTTTACAGAAGCCTCTCAGTTTCAGGGGGTCCATTTATTAATTGTTTCTCTCAGTGTCTGTGCTGTTGGCCTTATATTTAGGCAGTGGTCTCCTGTGCCAATGCATTGAAGTGTCTTTCCCACTTTTTCTTCTGTGTGGTTCTATGTGGTTGGTTTTATGTTGAGGTCTTTGATCCATTTGGACTTGAGTTTTGTGCCTGGGGATAGATATGGATCTATTTTCGTTCTTCTACATGTTGATATCCAGCTATGCCAGCACCATTTGTTGAATATCTTTCTTTTTTCCGTTTTATATTTTTCTTCTTTTTCAAAAGTCAGGTGCTCCTAGGTGTGTGGATTGATATCTGGGTCTTCTATTCAGTTCGATTGGTCTTCCTGTCTGTTTTTATACCAATACCCAGCTATTTTTAGTACTGTACTTCTGTAGTAGAGTTTGAAGGCAGGGATTGTGATGCCTCCAGAAGTTCCTTTATTGTACAGTTTTGGCTATCCTGGGTTTTTTGCTTTTCATATGAAGTTGAGCATTGTTCTTTCAAGATCTGTAAAGAATTTTGCTTGGATTTTGATGGGCATTGCATTGAATCTGTAGACTGCTTTTGATAAGATAGCCATTTTTACAGTGTAAATTCTACCTACCCAAGAGCATGGGAGATCTTTCTGATTTCTGGTGTCTTCTTCATTTTTTTTTCTTCAAAGAATTAAAGTTCTTGTCATACAGGTCTTCCATTTGTTTGGTTAGAGTTACTCCAAGATCTTTTATATTATTTGTGGCTATTGTGAAGAGTGATGTTTCTCTGATTTCTTTCTTACCCCAATTATCATCTGTGTAAAAGAGGGCTACTGATTTTTTCGACTAAATCTTGCATCCTGCAACATTACTGAAGGTGTTCATGATAACTCATGTTTTAAAACTATAGGCTGTCTTGTGTGGTGACATCATCATCATTATCCCATTGATACCATTACTGTTATTAACATGAGTATGTGCATGCACTTTTGTCTCATGGGTCGGGAGTGTGTGCTCTGTGTGAGTGTGTATATGTGTATGTGTGTATGAGTGAGTGTGTGTGTCACATATGTGGATTTCAGATTCAAATTTGTTTTGTTTTGTTTTGTTGTTGTTGTTGTTTTGGTTTTTTTGTTTGTTTTTTGAGACAGGGTTTCTCTGTAGCTTTGGAGCCTGTCCTGGCACTAGCTCTGTAGACCAGGCAGGTCTCGAACTCACAGAGATCCGCCTGCCTCTGCCTCCCGAGTGCTGGGATTAAAGGCGTGCGCCACCATCGCCCGGCCAGATTCAAATTTGATGAGGTTCTACTTCCACTTTTATTTGGATTGTCAGGTTCCATGCAGGTATTGAGGCATGCATGGAGACTGAACTTAATTCATTGAGCTTTCATTGTAAATACTTTTACCACCTCATTCATTTCACTAGTCGCTAAAACAATAGCTTTAAAAAAAATAAAGCGCCATGTCCTCAATTTGTACTTATTGCCTAGAGACTACTAAGTATTTCTAGCTTAGGGGTACGCATAGCTTTGAGAACTTTTCCCTTTATATACATTAGTTTTCTCATTTAATATTTGAAATATTTTTTATTTCACCTGCTAAATTTCTGCACAGCTGTGAATACACTGTCTATATACTAAGCACAGAAAACATATGAATTTAAGATTTGGAGAATTTGCATTAATTTATTTATTAGAAGGGTTACAATTGTATTTAAAATGTGTACCACTGAAGGATAGAAACAATGATTACTAATTACAGTGTTTTAAAATATTTTTAATGACCAAACATCTCTCTTTCCACGCTTTGACTTGTTACTTTTATTATCTGCAAACAAACTTATGCAAGCATAATTATTACATAGTCAATCTCTAATCAAGAACAGCATGAAGACAAGGAACACAGAAATAACTAAAAATTCCCTTTGAGATCATCTTGGACGCTACAGTGAGACGCTGTCTTAAAGTGCTAAAGCAAAATCCCCATGAATTTTTACACTGGGCGTGGCAGCTCACACCTGTAATCCCAGCAGCTGCATTGTGGAGGAAGAGCATTTGGAGTTCAAGATCAACTATGGCTAAATAGTGACACAGGAGCCACCCTGGGCTCCACAGAAAACCTCAAAACACAACAAAACAGCCCAAAATTCTCAGTTCACCTAGAGGAGCGCACATCAAGGTTCAGGAAGCTAAACGGGACAAACAGGATGGGGAGGAGCAGGGAACAGTGTTTCCCTGAGTGTGACAAGCAGGATTCACAGGTGACAGAATTTATTATATATAAAATGCTTATCTAGGTGTAATCATGAATTTCTAAAGTGTGTTACAGATGTGGGATCTCCTCCCACATCACTTCCACAATGACTTTGAGTTTACATATATCTAAGCATAAGTATGAGAAACATATTACAAACTTGTATCAAACATTATACACAGATATAAATAGACGCATAAATATATATGTAATTATATGTTTTCTAGCCCAGCAATACACTTATAAACAACACCAGCTACATAACCAAAATTATTTCCAGAGGACTACCTGGCATATTCATCTTCTCCTGGCATTTTTTTCACCTGTCCTCCCTTGGCTGTCCTGATTCCTCTTCAGGAAAACCCACAACACTCGCTGAGATGATGGGGAAGGCAGATATATGGCTCATTCGAACCAACTGGGATTTGGAATTTCCTCACCCTGTCTTACCAAACTTTGATTTTGTGGGAGGACTCCACTGCAGACCTGCCAAGCCTCTACCAAAGGTAAGTATAGTCCCATTTGTTTGCTTCAGTTTTTTTTTTTTTGCAAGTTCAGCAAGGGTGATTATCTTTTATTCTTTCAGAATGTTCGTCAAACTCAGCCAGTCACAAGAATTTAGATAAGTAAGTGGCCAGTAGAAATGCCTATATCTATTCCATCAAAAGAGTGTGACTATCATTTGGATTAAATTAATTCAGCAAGGTTCTGTTTTGCATAAACATTTTCTTATATTTGAGTGTAAAAAGAATGAACAAATACCTTATATAGAGAAAGGTCCACAGACCAACTCCTTTAGAAAGTGATTTGAGAGAAAATAGATGTTAAAAAATAAAAGTTTGTTTTCACAAGTCACAATGGCTCTATTTACTTTCTTGACCACTCACACAAGTGAGAACACACCCCTGAAGATACATACCTAAACATATGTTTTCAGGAACAGACACAGTTACACAAATTGACAGCACATAGTATATTTCTTTCCAATGAAACTGACATCTATTAGAAAGAACACAAATAAAAAGATAGTGGACAGTCTTAACAAAATTAGCAATAGATTGGCGATCCATGAGTTCTACTCCTGAGAATGTATGCAAAAGAACTGAACGAAGGACTTCAATGAGATAGTAATGCAAGGATGCTCTTGGCAGCACTATTCCTGAAGGGAAGCATGCAAGGGGGTTTGAATAAGAATGATTTCATAGGCTCATATACTTGAAAGTTTGGTTCCCAATTGGTGAACTGTTTAGGAAGGATTTGGAAGTATGTCTTAGTTGGAGAATTGTGTCACTGGATGTAGGCTGTGAGGCTTCAAAAGCACAAACTATGCTTGGCCTCTTTCTATCTGTCTGCCTCTTATAACTACGGGTTTAGTTCAGAGTTACAGTTCTAGTGCCATGCCTGCCTGCCATGGTGCTCCGCACCATGATGCACATAGAAAACCATCTGAAACTTTCAACAAATTCCCAATTAAATGCTTTCTTTTTGAAGTTTTTTTAATCATGGTGTATCCTCACAACATTAGAACAGTAACTAAGAAAGGGATAAACAACCTAGATATCACTAGAATTATTGATAAAAAATTATAGAGTGTGCAAATAAAAACAATAACTAAATCATTAAAACCTAGGGTATAGAAACACATGGTATGACCTTAATAACAGTACACTAGGTAAACTAGCCAATGATGAAACGGAAATAAATTAAGAAGACCTTATGAGAACTGCCTAGATTGGTCAAAATAATAGAAACAGAAAGCAGGTATTTGGTGGCCAAAGGACTAGGAAGAGAGAAAGAGAACTTTAAATTAAATATCAACAAATCTTGCCTTTCAAGATCAAAAGAACTGTTTGTGTGAGTATGTGTAACACACAGAGCTGTATTTACAGCTGAATACAACTTACATCTTATATGTGGATATGAATAGTTTTAAAGCACCTACCACTCTGATCATTTCTAATGCTGCTCAGTTTCTTTCTGTCAATGTTGGTATCCATTTTAAGCAGGTTGTTTAGTGTTACTGCTGTTTATGATGGACTGATATTTCATCAACAGGAAATAGAAGACTTTGTCCAGTCTTCCGGAGAACATGGTGTGGTAGTGTTTTCCCTGGGGTCCATGGTGGGTACCCTAACAGAAGAAAGGGCCAACGTGATTGCAGCAGGCCTTGCCCAGATTCCACAGAAGGTGAGAAACAGTGCCTCAGTGTGGCATCCTCACAGAGATGGTCACAGCCTGTTCAGGTGTGACAGCAGAAACCTCGTGTGAAATCGAAGCTGTCACGATAGCTCTAGCTACTCTCTGAAGTCACTAATGACACAGAAATACAGTAGACAAATGATGTTTTTGTTATTAACGCCATGTTCAGACAGAAAAACACTTAATAAGTGTCTTTAGACTTGGTGGTAGGAACGTATGATAAGAACAAAACTGCGCCTTGTACTTCGTCCATTACCTTGGAGGCTATTTGAGGACTTTCACACACCACCCTTTACTAAAGCCTGCTATTATTTTGTAAATAAGCAGGCATTCAAAACTGGCAGTTGCAGGACCTGAGAGGTGAATTATCTTTTAGAGCAGGTGTTGCTCACCCAGATGACCTGAACTTAGTTCTGTGCCTTCACTTCTGGCAGCATACAGCTGCCTATAACAGCATCCCACGGGATCCAAAGCATTCTTCTGTCCTCAGATGACACACAAACATACACACACATCCCACACATATGAACACACAGAAAGAGAGAGAAAGATCAAGTTACACATATATAAATATAATTCTCTATCTTAAAAATGGAATTTATGCTATTTTGGTTTATTCATTTTTCTTTTATCTTATTTTATTATACATATTTCAATGTCTATTTGTTTTATAAGGGTTTCAAAGAGAGGTGTAGAGATGAATGTTTAAGAGCCATGCAATGGGAATCCAAAAATAAAATAAATTTTATGGATGAGAACATCTATTTTCAATAAATAGAAAATAGACAAATAAAATGCAAAATTTTAAAATGGAGTTTGTATCATAGATTTACATTCCTCTGTAATCACGAACAAATGTGATCATCTGCATTGAAAATGGGCCTATGCTATATGTTTCTCCTGCTAATCGAAAACCTAGGTAGAACAGGATTTTGCAACCGCCAAGTCCACCTTGAGGAACTGAGCCTGTTAATGCTGGAAAAGGTGGTAACTCGAGGACATGCTCTTGAAGTGAACATGTCTGTACACAGTCACTCTTCGGGCCTAAGCTAATAATATATCTATGATTAAGGGATTATAAATGAGCAAACTCAAATATTATTGGCAAATAGTTATAGTGGATTTGAAAAATAAAAACTGTTATAAATATATCCTGGAAAAGCAAATCCAGGTAGATATTAGTAACTATGAAGGATTGTTGAACTGGAATTACGTTCACACACTTTTTAACTACTGCTTCAAATGGCCAGACCAAGCTTTCCCAAAGTTGCTGGTGACTAAACCTTTGGTGACATGCTGAAACTCGGATAAGCATGAGACTAGCTGCAGGAGAGTGAAGAGAACTTGCATCCTTGCTGTAGCAGTTCTTCACGGTTCCCATCATCCTTCCTTACTGCCTGGCCCTTATCTGCACTGATTCTTAATATCTCCAGAAATCTAGCAGGAGGAACTTGACATTTGACCAAATAAGAAGCTAGCTTCATCTTAACAGGTTCTTTGGCGATTTGAAGGCAAGAAGCCAGACACCTTGGGCTCCAACACTCGACTGTACAAATGGATCCCGCAGAATGACCTTCTCGGTAAGCACCGGGACACACCTGAGACATAGCAATGGCTGCTCAGGAGGGGGATGTCCACACTAATGCATTTATGACAACTGTGATCTAGTCCTGGGGAAAAAGGATAAAGAACTGATATGACTATTCTGTATAGTAACATTTGAGATGAGAGACTCTATTGTCACCGCCACGCTAATTACTGTTCAGATAAATTTAAGTCACTTCTAATTTCTCTCCACATCCTATTTCTATAACTTAACATCTTCCTTTTCCCCTACTGTAGAGCAATTTGAAATTCCAGTGGGAATGGTATTCTTTCATTAAGAAGGCCTAACTTACCATGCTGTGCTCACAAAAGACCCAACAACATGAAATGTTCCTACATGTGATGAAATATTGCCTTTCCTCAGTCTGATTCCATCAAAACAAGCACTTACCCCTTACTGCTTGGAGCCAAGACATCTGGAGCAGGGGTTGCACTGTTTTCTTAGGGGAACATTCTCTCCTGAACTTGTACATGCTGTTTGCTCCACTTGGAAGGAGCTCTGCCCTTTTTTGTCCATTGAACAAAATCTTTCTACTTTCCAAAATACACATACTCTATGTGACCTTCACATAATCCCTGTGGCTGTGCTGTGTTCTGTGATCAAAGACATTGGAGGAATTAAGTTCTGTTTCATGGGTATGATAATGTTCTCTAGAGAATATTTTCCCTTTCTGTGCCTTTTCCTTCTGCCTCTCATTTTCTTTCTCAGACTTATGTTTAATATTTGCCCTAAATTTCTCCCCTTGCTAGGTCATCCTAAAACCAGAGCCTTTATTACTCATGGTGGCACCAATGGCATCTATGAGGCGATCTACCATGGGATCCCTGTGGTGGGCATTCCTTTGTTTGGAGACCAGTTTGACAATATTGTTCACATGAAGACCAAAGGAGCAGGGCTTCGAGTGGACTTTCTCACAATGTCCAGTGCAGATTTGTTCCATGCTGTGAAGAAAGTCACTAATGACCCTTCGTGAGTACAGTGAATTTATTCAATGGTTATTGTCTGGATAAGTTCTCTCCAAGGTTATAGTAGCATTTTTCAGATCTTTAGTCTGAGTTTTATAACAACAACATAAAACTCACTTAACCACTATGGAATGAGCTTTTACTGTCAATCATAACTGCAAAGTATCCCTAGAGACTAACTATACAAGAAATTAGTTTAAAATAACTTGATTATGTAAAATATTTTCTCTTGCTAAATGATAGGACACAATTTCCACAAATAGGATAAAATCAACAAACAGAATAATGCACCTAAGAAGTAGTAAATATTACAAGTCAATAACTAAAATTTCTGAAATTCATATTGTTTAAACAATTCTCACTCATTGCCCAAAGTAGAATTGCCCAAATTAAGAATGTACATATATGTGCATATGTGTATATAAATGTACAATATGTAATGACCAAATATCTTACTTACCATTTCCATCTCCTTAAGCATTTAGAATTTTGTTTTTGTCCATGCTGAAAGTCTCCTCTCGCACATTCCACAGCTACAATAAGACATGTGACTTGTAGTCCAGTCACGGACTCACTGTAGAGCACTATCCTGCTCGCCAGTGGCAGGGCGTATATATTAGCTGACCTCTCTCTATCTCCACTCACTGTCTCCCTTCCTAGACTCCAGTTACTACTCTGCTACTCTCTACGTCTATGAAATCAACTCTGTGGTTCCACACACTGATGAGAATGGACAGTGTTTTCATTTAGGGCCGAGTTTGTACAACTTAGTGTAATTGTAAAAAGAAGATTTCCTTCTTTATAATTGTTAAATAATATTCAACTATGCTTTTATACCACATTTTATTTATCCATCATTTCACTAAGGGCACCTCAGTCAATTCCAGTTCCTAACTATCATGATCAGTGCTGCAAAAACCATGGGCCTTATGTTATCGTTTTGAAATATTATGTATTATTTCATTAAATAGATTCCTAATGGGAAGAATGCTAAAACCAGGGTAATTAGTGAGGAAATCCCTGCTCTTTTAGTAGCTGCTGTACTGAATTACACTCCAGCAATCACTTATATTAGTAATTCCTCCACAGACTCCTAGCATTGATCAGCCTGTCGTCCTGACTTCAACACACAAAATGGCATTATAAAGGCAGAGAATAGACTCACACATGTTTTCCTCTGACCTCCACGCATGCTGCATGGTACATACCACACCTCCATGGCACACGGAAAAACAATTAGAATACATAAATTAAAAAATAATTGAAAATTACCACATCCTCTACATCCTTGTAATTACTATGTTTATGACTCTCTTAGAAGTACTGGGGGGGCAGGGGAAATCAGGGACTCTCAAGCATTCTAGGCAAGCGATCAATGGGCTACATCTTTTTTTTGTTTGTTTGTCTGTTTGTTTTATTTTTTTAGTTGTTGCAAAAAAAATTTCCCATTTCCTTCCCCCTCCTTGCACACATCGTCCCCTCCCCCCACTCTCCTCTCCCTCTCCCCCTTCCCCCCCACTCCATTTCCCCTCCCTCTCGAGAATGAAGAGCAGTCCAGATTCCCTGCCCTGCAGGAAGTCCAAGGTCCTCCCACTTCTATCCAGGACCAGGAAGGTGAGCATCCAAACAGGCTAGGCTCCCACAAAGCCAGTTCATGTATTAGGATCGAAACCTAGTGCCATTGTCCTTGGCTTCTCATCAGCCTTCATTGTCTGCCACGTTCAGAAAGTCCAGTTTCATCCCATGCTTATTCAGTCCCAGTCCCGCTGGCCTTGGTGAGCTCAATGGGCTACATCTTATGTCGTCTTGTGCAAAGTATGTTCCTTTTTGCCAGTTTACCCACTTTTCAATATTCCTGGTATTTTTATTGAGTTTTCAAAGACTTTCAAAGACACAATGCCTTCTCAAAAGCATCAATGCAATCATTTTCAGACTGTTTTGAGCCACCTACTTTGCAATGCCTGGGACAGCTTACTAACATTTACTCTGCTAGAAAGATTTCCTGCCCAAAATGGTTTCCTATTTCAGTTTTGCAAAGAATTTCACGGAAACTACCAACTTCCAGGCAAACCTTCAAATATGTCCCAGTCAAAACCATACTGTATCTAGTATTCCTCTGTGGCATTTACTGAGTCTCATGATGCTTTCCAGAAATTTTCTTAGGCTTGAAGAACTTAAGTAAACTAACTGGCTTTTGATGGTGATGTCTTTAGCTATAAGGAGAATGCCATGCGGCTATCAAGAATCCACCACGACCAGCCAGTGAAGCCCCTGGACAGAGCCGTCTTCTGGATTGAGTATGTCATGCGCCACAAGGGAGCCAAGCACCTTCGTGTGGCAGCGCATGACCTCACCTGGTACCAGTACCACTCTCTGGATGTGCTTGGATTCCTGCTTGCCTGTGTGCTGACTGTGATGTTCGTCATCACAAAGTGTTGCCTCTTTTGCTGCCAGAGATTTACTAAATCTGGAAAGAAGAAGAAAAGGGAGTAGCTGAAGTGGGGAGCACTGACACATGGACCTGCTCCAGTGCATCACAGCAGGGGAGGCGGTGGGGGTAGTGTCCTTCATTCTGTGACAAGACAGCTTCTCAGTCTTATTTGTCAATTCTAGGGATTTTTTTTTCTCCCAGAGAATTAACGATTTTTGCACTTAATTGTACTTCATGCCTCAAATTAAACTGAAATATAAACCCAGTAAAATTAAAATAGCCAACATGAGTACACTTAATTTTTGCACTTAATTGTACTTCATGCCTCAAATTAAACTGAAAAATAAACCCAGTAAAATTAAAATAGCCAACATGAGTACACAATATGAGTATAAAAATGAATTTTAGAAATTCATTTTTATAGTTTAAAAATTATGCCAAAAACACTATGGCGGAGGTGACAACTCCAAGGGTAAATTACTGATCTGTCAAGACTTTCTCCTTTAGCTTGGATCCCCAGAACCCATATCAAAGCTATAACCTGTAGGCCCAGTGTAAGCAAGCCAAATTTGAGTCTGAGACAGAATTGCAAACTTTCAGGCCAACTAGCCTTTTGCTCAGCAAAAGATACCCTGCCTCATGAAGTGTGGAAGGTGAAAAATAGCACTGGTGGTTGTACTCTGACATCCCATATGCTTGCCTTGATAGGTGTGCCCCCATCACAAATGGGCACACACATATAAAAATACACAATTATACACTTCATTCTCACATACTCCCCCAAAGAATGAAGGTGTCTCAGAGGCTGTTTGTGGATGCAAGATCACTAAGAAGACCACTATTGATATCAACATGGTTTTGCAAGTATTGAAGAAGTTTTCAATTTGCTTATTGCAGACTTTGTAGTAAAAATTTCTAGACAAATTGTTCAGGATTGGAGCTGTGTAAAAATCCTGGCCCCATATTCGTCTTTGGGATACCAGTATTGGTGCTGGTCTCACACTGGGCACAAAGCCTCTGAATAACCTTTTTTTAAAGATCTACCAAGACAGTACTTGGAGTGGAGAGATGGGCTCAGCAGTTAGGAACACTAACTCCTCTCCTACAGGTCCACCAGTAACACCAGTTCAGTGGAGTTTGTCACCCTCTTCTGGCTTCTGGTGGAAGTACATGCAGACTCAATATAAAGACACAAAATAAAAATAAATTTTGAAAAACTACTTGTTTTGTGAAATGAATTTTGTTTCCACTTATCCCATTAAATTAATAATAAAATTGCCTCATTGTCATAATTAATCTTTGGGAACAGATGTAAGATTCCAAGTTTAACTTTAGATATCACAAACAAAACTCAAAAAAGGTATGTTTTCACTGTTGCAGTGTGTAGAAGTGCGTGTGTATATGTCTATGTCCCTTTTAACAAATAATACAATTTACCTTTGTTCTTCATACTTATGCTGTGACTTCAATATTTCTATATAAGTTGTTTTGAAATAATGAATATGTGCTGGGAAGATTGCTCAGTGGTTAAGAATACTTGCTGCGCCAGACTTAGGAGTTAGATCTAATTTCCATCATGTGTGGAAACCTAGCATGTTTGTGTGAATGTCCATAAGTTCTGGGAAGGAGGCGGGGGGGGGGGGGGAGACCCTTAGATACCAGGACTTACTGGCCACCTAGTAACAAGTGACAACCTTCGGGTTCAGTGATATAGCCTGTCTTTAGTGAATAAAATAGGTGATGAATTAGTGAATGAGAGAGCAGGCAAGATACTGGGCGTCCTCTGTCTTCAGCATACACATGAATTAGTGCACACACGTGCACATACACACACCACTCACATGCCTGCTCACATCACATACACACAAACACGTGAGAAAGAGAGAGAGATCAACACCTCATCAACTATAGTTTTCAAAAACATGTGTGGTGGCCAATCTTAATTGCCAACCTGAGTGCATTTGGAATTAACTAAAGTCCAAGGTATAGGACACACCTGTGAGGGGGTTGTTTTTTTTTTTAATTGTTTTTGTTGAGCTATATAATTTTCTCTACTCTCTTCCTTCCCACTCCACTTTTACCCTCTCCCATGATTCCCACGCTCCCAATTTATTCAGAAGATCTTATCTCTTTCTACTTCCCGTGTATTCGATCCCTGTGTGTCTCTTTTAGAGTCTCATTTGTTCTCTAGGTTCTGGGGGTTTCTTTGCTTTATATCTAAAAGCCATTTATGAGTGATTACATATTATGTTTGTCTTTCTGAATATGGGTTACCTGACTCAATATGATGTTTTCTAGATCCATCCATTTGCCTGCTAATTTCAAGATGTCATTTTTTTTCGCCATGTAGTACTCCATTGTGAAAATACACCACATTTCTCTTAACCATTCTTTGGTCGGGGGGCATTTAGGTTGTTTCCAGTTTCTTTTATGACAAATAATCTGCTATGAACATAGTTGAGCACCTGTCTTTGTGGTATGATTGAACGTCCTTCGGGTATATACCCAACAGCTGGGTCGTGAGGTAGGTTGTTTCCTAATTTTCTGAGAAATCACCGTACTGATTTCCAAAAGAGCTGCACCAGTTTGCACTCCCACCCACAGGAGTGTTCCCTTTACCCCACAACCTCTCTATGATAAGCTGTTATTAGTGTTTTTGATCTTGGTCATTCTGAAAGATTTAAGATGGAATCTCACTGTTGTTTTGATTTGCATTTCTCTAATGGCTAGAGATGTTGAGTGTTTCCTTTAATTTTCTTCAGTCATGTTAGATCATCTCTTGAGAGTTCCCTGTTTAGGTCTGTACCCATTCTTTATTGGATTATTTGTTATTTTGGTGACCAGTTTCTTGAGTTCTTTGTATACTTTGGAGATCAACCCACTGTCTGATGTGGGTTTGATGATGCTCTTTTCCCATTCTATAGACTGCCATTTGTTTGTGTCTTTTGCTTTACCTAAGCTTCTCAGCTTCAGTAGGTCCTTTTATTAATTGCTGCTCTCAGTGTTTGTACTATAGGGTTATATTTAGGAAGTGATCTCCTGTGCCAATGCATTCAAATGTATTTCCTACTTTCTCTTCTATGAGGGTCAGTGTGGTTGGCTTTATGTTGAGGTCTCTGATCCATTTGGGCTTGAGTTTTCTGCTTGGCAGTAGATATAAACCTATTTTCATTCTTCTACATGTTGATATCCGGTTATGACAGCACCATTTGTTAAATATCTTTCTTTTTCCATTTTATATTTTTTGCTTCTTTGTCAAAAGTCAGATAGTCCTTCATGTGTGGATTGATATCTGGGGCTTCAATTTAGTTCCATTGGAAATCCTGTCTGTTTTTATGCCAATACCAGGTTGTTTATCTTTTAGCAGTTGTTGCTCCTTCCTCAACATTCAAAAAATTCAAAGAAAGCATAATAACATACAGTATCAAGATTCTCTGTGTATTTTTCATTTTTATGTGGCTTTATTTTAACCTCTATTTCTCTTATTTTTACTTTTAACTTTTGGCTTTTTGAGACAGGTTCTCTGTTTATCTTTGTCCTGGAATCCCCTCGGTAGGCCAGGCTGTCCTTGAACTCACAGAGATCCACCTGCCTCTGCCTCACAAGTGTTGGGATTAAAGGTGTGTGCTACCACACCTTGAACTCACAGAGATCTGTCTGCCTCCCAAGATTTGGGATTAAAGGCGTGTACCACCACACCCAACTACTCTCTTTCTTTCTTTTTTATTTTAAGGACTTTAACCTTTGGCCTGCATATACTTTTAACACAGTGTAAACCATTTAGAGATTTTTTGGGGAGAGTTGTTTGTTTTTGACTCTCTCTTTATTGTATATATTTCTCTATTTTTCTAACCACATGAGTCTTTAATTTGCTAAGCAATATGGAGAGGATTAATGCTGTGTCTTTGATGGCTAGATCCAGCCCATTTCTTAGCTTTCTGAGATTTCAGCATTATGGCTGAGGTACCAGCCAGAGCCATGTTTATTGCCACAACTCTAAGGTGTTTCAAGGTCCTTGCCAGCAAGCAAGCTGCAATAGTGTGTCCACAAACAACACTCAAATGTTCCCTCTGTAGCCAGACCTCCTGCCTCAAAGAGTCAGAGTTTGCACTTACAGGATAGCCCAGAAAACCAGCATTTTAAAACAGCACAGCTTTTTACCTGTTACAGCTGAAAGCCAAACAGCATGCAGTTGGAGTTTCACCAACACTATGTAAGTGTTTCTTGGCAGGACCTCTTATAAGGGCTCCAAGGCTTTGCAGCTAAAGCTGAGTGAGGAAGCCTCTCTTAAATGAGAGCACTTGCTTGCCTCTAGCAAGCATAGCAGACCTGAGAAATTGCTGCTACCAAGAAGCCATGCTTTACTTTATTCTTTTCTGCCCAGAATTACTTCCCAAGCTCTGTCAGGCTTTACATGGATGCAGTTGGCCATGTGGGTGCCATTTTGTAACACAAGGGCCTGCTTGTTGGGGTTTCTGTCCTGCCCATTTCCCATAGCCATTTAGCATCGAAAGAATCACACAGAAGTCTTCATTAGATATAAACTGATTGGCCCAATAGCTCAAGCTTCATATTAGCTCTTATAATGTATACCAGCCCATTATTGTAGTATATGTTAGCCACATGGCTGGGTACCTTTTTTTTGGCAGGGTAGGTCACATCTTGCTTCTTCCGTGGTCTGGGCAGGACTGTAGAAAGAGCTTCCTTCTTTCCAGAATACTCCTGTGTCATTGTCCCACCTCTACTGCCTGTCTGGTTTTCCTGCCTATACTTTCTGCCTGGCTATTGGACAATCAGCATTTATTTAAAATATAATTGACAGAATATAGACAATTGTCCTGCACCAATGATTCCTTTAGAAGATATATGCTGGTTTAGCTTAGCAGCACATACAATAAAATTTCTCTCTGTGCTTAGCTCCTTACAGTCAAAAGATCCAAAGAAAACACAATAATATGCATAATCCAGACTCTGTGTATTCTCTATCTTTACGTGGCTTATTTTTCTTTACTCCTTCTAATCTATGACTATCTGTACTTTGTCTCATTAAAGACTTTACCTTTTTTGAAGCATTAACTTTATTTTATGACTCTCTATACTCTTTTTCTTCTCTCTTCCAAGCCTATGTACATTTATCCTACACTGTGACCCATTTAGAGTTATTTTATGTCTGAATCTGTCTTATTGTGAATCTGTAATTCTTTACTGTCCAGGAGCACTTCTTAAAATGCTAAGCACTTCTTAAAAACAACTTTTTGCACCATTAGTAGGGGTAATATGGTACTACCTGTTTGCCTGCCCAGTGGAAAACTTAAGCTGCACTAATAGTATGACATATACAGTAGTTCCTGCTAGCTCTGCACAGTCCAGTGTAGCAGAGCTGCTTGAATCTCTGAGCTGTGAACACTGCCCCAGTTCCAGGTACACTGCCTGTTCAAGTTGCCATCAAGCAAGCCGCATGCAGCATACTGCTAACAAACACAACTCAAGTGCTCTGTAGCCTGACCTTTTGCCTGATATAGTCAGAGGTCGCACTGGCAGCCTGGCCCTGAAAGCCAGCATTTTAAAATGGCATGGCTTTTTTTCTGCTGCTGAGTCAGAAAAAAATCTCACCTAATAGAGTTGTGGCACTCCACCAGCAAACAGCAGAAAGCTGTGTTAAACTCTATATTCTCGTGTCCAGAATTTTTTAAGCTTTTTAGGTTTTATGTGGATATAGTCAACCACATTGGATCAAGGACCAGGCGGGTCAATGAGAACAGGAAAATTCTGGGAAGAAGGAAGTCCTGACCCAGCCTTGGAAGAAGCAAAATGTGACTGCCTCACCAAATAAGGTACCAAAAGCCACGTGGCTAACATAGACAAGAATAATGGGTTAATATAAGTTATAAGAGTTAATAAGAAGCCTGAGCTAATAGGTCAATCAGTTTATAACTAATGTAGACCTCTGTGTGACTTCTTTGGGACTTAACGACTGCAGGGACTGGACAAGACAGAAAACTCAGACAACAAATATCACCATAGAACCTTTGTCCAACAACAGATGGAAACAGAGGCAAAGACCCACATTAGAGCACTGGACTGAGCTTCCAAGATCCAGTTGAAGAGTGGAAGGAGTGAAAGTATGAACAATGAAGCCAAGACAATGAGGGGTTCATCCACTGAGACAGTTTGCCTGAGCTAATGGTAGCACACCAACACCAACTGGACTGAGAGGAATGAACATGGAAACAAACTAGCTCCTCTGAATATGGTCGACAGTTGGGGCAGACCGAGGGGCCACTGATAGTGACACTGGAATTTATCTCTACTGCATGTACTAGCTTCTTGGGATCCTGTTCTCGTTGGATGTATACCTTGCCCAACCTAGATGTAGTAGGGAGGGCCTTGGACTTTCCACAGGGTGGGGTGCATTGCCTTCTATTAGGATTGGAGGGGATGGAATGGGAGGGGGATGGAAGGGACTGGAAGGAGGAGAGGGAGTGGAAATTTGGATTGGTATTTTTTATTTAAAAAGTATTAAAATAAAAAGTTTAAAGAAAAAAATTTCTATTAGAAATCTATACCTGAAGGGAAATGGCCATTTTATATTTTATCGCAACTATTCCCTAATAAAATCCATTTTTAAATAATAAAAATGACTTTGGAAATATGAAAGCCAGTCACGAAACACCCATTTTATAACACAATTTATATGATATCCTCAAAATAATAAAATAATAACATAAGGAAGTAGATAAGCAGTTGGCAAAGTCTGAATCAAGTGGAAAGGTTAAAATATAGTACATACTTCTGGGATATTGTACTTCTCTAAACTTTATTACAGTGGTTGATTCATACGTCAGAGATTATGCTGTGAACCTCTGGACTATAGGTCTAAAACTGATGAGTTATGTGATACAAGATTAACACATCATATACATTCACATGGGGAAAAGTCACTGAACTATGAAGAAAGATAATTTGCCTCAGCAGTGTGGCTTTTATTTCAGGATTTATATCAACCTATGTTTTTTGACAAGTTCATTTTGACTTTCTTTCTCTGTCTATCTCTGTCTCTCCTTTCTTTTCCTCTATGTCTCTCTCTCTCTCTTTCTTTTCTTTCTTTTTTTTTTTTTTTTTTTTTTTTTGAAACTAGATTTCAGATTTCTTAGTGTAGCTCTGGATGTCCTGGAACTCCTTTGTAGACCAGGTTGACATTCAACTCAGAGATCTGCCTGCCTCTGCTTCCCTAGTGCTGGGATTAAAGGCGCGTGCCACCACTGTCAGCACAAGTTTATTTTCACTATTCTAAGAAAAATGTCTTAAAATCTCTAGCATATCAAAGACAAATTACTCATTCAGGGTCACTGAGAATCGGTAGTCACTTCACATGATCACATCTGCCTTCTGGTTTTTGCACTTGGTATCCAGAGACTATGGCTATCTCATTTCTATTTGCTTTGGCGGATACAAGTTATACTTTAACTAATACTACTCTTTTCTTTATCTGTAAGAATCGAGAAATCACCATTTGAAAGGCAACTCTGAACTTAGCCAAGATGTCTATGAAAATGACAGTAGTCCTGCTCCTGCTACAGCTGAGTGGCTTCTTTGGATCTGGAAGTAGTGGGAAGGTGCTGGTGTGGCCAGTGGAATTCAGCCATTGGCTCAACCTAAGGATAATCCTAGAAGAGCTTGTGAAGAAGGGCCATGAAGTGACTGTTCTGAGACCCTCAGTTTACTTTTCTTATGAAGTGGACAACACATCTGCTATTGAATTTGAAACATATCCTGCATCATTTTCCATGACTGATGCACAAGAATTTTTCAAAGAAGCCTTCAATAAACACATTTATGAGTTGCCAAAGCAATCATTTTGGGGATATTTTTTGATGTTGAAAGAACTGTTTTTGTTCGAGTCAGAATATTTTGAGCATTTCTGCAAAGATGCAGTTTTAAACAAGGAACTTATGACAAAACTACGTAATTCAAGCTTTGATGTCATAGTAGCAGATCCATTCTTACCCTGTGGTGAACTGCTGGCTGAGATTTTTAAGTTACCTCTGGTGTACAGTCTCCGATTCTTTCCTGGCTTCAAGTACGAAAAGTACAGTGGAGGACTACCACTACCTCCTTCCTATGTGCCTGTTGCTTTTTCAGAATTGAGTGATCGAATGACATTCATGGAGAGGGTACAAAATCTGATCTATGTGCTTTCTTTTGACTTTTGGCTACAAATGTTTAACGAGAAGAGGTGGAATCAGTTTTACAGTGAAGTATTGGGTAAGTGCCATGGTCATCTGGGATTGCTGTATTCAAAATTTTCTGTGTCATTGAAAGTAAACTTGAAACAACAGGATAGACAGTCATCAGTAAAAATGTAAAAAAAACTGTGAAATTATCTGCCTAATTCAAAACTGTATAAAAGCCTATGTCCCAGTGGTAAATTAGAAAGCCTTGTCTATGACTCGCCAAGACACTTTCGAATGGTACATACTCACCAAGCAATGCTTTGTGGGCTTTCTAAGCAAGTACATAGGCATTTACTATTTTATCTCATCTTTTTAGAACAGTTTTACCTGAGTGAAATGTATCCTTAGCATCATCACCATCATTAGTATCACTATTATCTATTTGTGCACGGGCTGGGGGATTGTGTGTCTAGGCACACAAGTGGAATTTGAGGGCGCCTTGGAGTCTATTCTCTTTACATGCTCATACATATCCTCAGGATGGAAGCATGCTTACCACCTTGCATAGCAAATGCTTTAACCCATTGGACCATCTGGCTGACCCCTAAAATAATTATTTTAAACTCATTCAATGTCCTCTCGAGTAACAGACATATAGATTGAAGATTAACAGACATTTCTACCATGGTTACCTATACAGCATGGAGAACTTATCACTTCTAAAAATAATTAGTTATTTTATTTAAAATTTGAAATCTTTCTGACTTTACATAATGAGTTTTTTCACATTTGTGACACACCCATCTCTGTCTCAGACACAGCAAGTTTATGAATGAAAGATTATAGAGAATCCAAATTCAGTCACCAGGTGTCTAAAATTCTTCTCTTTTAAACCTTTAATGGTGCCAGCAACTGGCTCACCAGGTAAAGGCACATCCTTCCAAAAATCTGAAGATCTTAAACCCAACCATGGGGCATAAGAAATGAAAGGACAAAATGACTTCCTACAAATGTCCTCTGGCCTGTGAGCTCTACACACATAAACAGTGCGTGCACATGCACATAAACACACACACACACAAGTGCAATTAAGTAAATACCTTTTTTTTTCTCGATACAAGAATGTCAACTTTATTGTGCTCAGAGGCAGCTTATAGGGCTCTGGCCACGCCCCAGCTCTCAGGACCTTTCAGTTGCGGGCCCACCAGAAACCCCTCTCATGCCATCAGGGTCTCGTGCTCAGAGCAGCTGCAGGCACAGGTAAACACTAAAATGTTCAAGTATGAGCATGAACATTGTTAGTTATAGAGTTTTAAATGTTTTCTTTTTTAAAGAAAAAATAGTAGGGAATAAATGTCTCATTCCATAATCTATGACTTACCTTTGCTTATTATTTACAAACATAGGTATACATGCATTCAGTCATAATTTAAGAGTAGTACCAAGATAAGGGACACAGGGGTAATCAAACTTCTCTTGGAAGTCAACCAGGACAATCCAGTGAAACTCTGTCTCAAAATGAAATTCTGAAACAGAATCCCCACAGACGTTTACACTATGGGCATGGCAGCACACATCTGTAATCCCAGCAGTTGAGACGTGAAGGAAGAGGATCTGGAGTTCAAGGTCAACTTTGGCTACACAGTGACACTGGGATCACCCTGTGCTCCATCAGAATATGCGTGTTGAAGCAAAACAAAACAGCACAAAATTCTCAATTTCCTTAGAGAACTACACTTCAAGGTTCCAGCAGCTAAAATAGGGTAAACCAGTTCTAAGGGGGCATTTCCCTGAGTATTACAAATGGTATTCATAGACAATGACATTAATTATATTGAAATGGCATATCTAGATATCTGGTAATCATGAATTTCCAAGATTGTCACACACACACACACACACACACATGCGCACACATGTGCACACACACACACACACACACACACACTTGCAAGCAACTCTGGCTACATTATCAAAAGTATTTTCAGAAGACTACATGGCATGTCCATCTCCACCTGACAATTTTGTTCTACCTTTACTTTTCTGATTCCTCTTCAGGACGACCCACGACCCTCTCTGAGATGATGGGGAAGGCAGATATATGGCTTATTCGAACCTACTGGGATTTAGAATTTCCTCACCCTGTCTTACCAAACTTTGATTTTGTTGGAGGACTCCACTGCAGACCTGCGAAACCTCTGCCAAAGGTAAAATAAATTCCTGTTTTCTTTCTTCTCTTTCCCTTGCATATTTAGCAAAAGTGACTATCTTTTATTCCTTCAGAACGTTTGTGGCAAACTCAGAGTGTCACAGAAATTTAGATAAAGAAACTGGCCAGTAGAAACACCTGTACTAGTCCATCACAAGAGTCTGGACTTCCTTTCTGAAGCCCTGTGGGACATCTAAGGACAGGGACAGAGTACTGCTCAACACAGAGATGACCTCAGTGATTCACGCAGAACATATAGATAAGTGACAGGGCCACCCCACAGGCAAGTGCTGAGTACACAGAGACACAAAGTGTGCACAGACTCACCCAGAAACACCAACAATTCTACCTCTGAAGACAGACAGCAAGCAGGCAACAATGTTACAATGAGGAAAGGCCACCTTGCCTGGCAGTAAAAGTAAAGATGAGAGAGAGCACACAGTTTGGCCTAGTGAAGAAAACTCAGTATCTCTCTGGTCACATAAATCGTCCCTTCATTAGTGACTATAAATGAAATATATAAGTTCACACATTTGTTTAGGAATACTGTTTTAACTAGGTAAAGATGTGTGAGATGTGTTTGTAGTGTAGAATATTGTTTTAACTGTGCAAAGGTCTGTTACTTTTGTTTGTGCTGATTTGTTTAATTATGTAAAGATGTGCTGTGTTTGTTTGACCTTCCCTGCCTGTGGCACCTGATTGGTCTAATCAGGAGGAGAAAGCTAGGCTTTAAGAGAAGAATGAGAGAAGGGGGAATTAATAAGGGACACCTACGGGGCCAAAAGCCAGGCAGCTATAGGCCAGCCAGACACAGCAACAGGAAGAAAACAAGAAAAGGTGAAAAATCTCCAAGGCAAAGGTAGATAGCAAGAAACAGGTTAAGTAAAAGTTGCTAGCCAGAAACTTGGTTAAGCTAGGCTGAGCATTCAAAACTAATAAGGTTCTGTATCATGATTTGGGAGCTTGTTGGTGACCCCCAAAGAAAAAAATCTTGTACAGAGATTCTAGCTTCACATTGAGGAAATGGCAATGTCATCCAGAGATGAAGGAGGGAGGCAGAGTGAGAACCTAAAAAGTGTCTCAGTAGTGGAGAGCTGGCCACAGCAGAAAGGAAAGAAGGAAGCAGAGGAGGGAGTGCAGTTTACTCCTGATAACTAGGAATAATTTGTACAATAAATTGTATTGAAATAATAGAAAATAGTTTTGAATTTTAATAATTTTCAACAATTTTGATCCTTTAGGATGGGAATCATTCCTCCGAAGCACGTGCTTGCTCTCATTAGATACTAAAAGTTTTCTGTGCATTTGAAAGAATAGATTGACAAAAAGCGTAAAGTATATAAAACACAGGCCCCGTAGGTGGTTGGGGCTTAAAGGCCCTTGCAACAAAGCCTATATAAATCTATGTTAGGTCCTGAGACACAAATGACAAAAGGAGAGAGGTAAGTCTCAAAAAAATGTCTTCAGATCTCATATACGCAATAAATAAATGTAATAAATTAATTAAATTATATTAATGAAAATCATTAAAATACACATTTTAAACATTTTGTAAAACCGAATGGTGGTGACACATGCCTTTAATATCAGCACTTGGGAGGCAGACGCAGGTGGATCTCTGTGAATTTGAGTCCGGCCTGGTCTACAGATCAAGTTCCAAGACAGCTGAAGCTACACAGAGAATCCCTGTCTCAAAAAANAAAAAAAAAAAAAAAAAAAACAAACAACAACAAAATATAACATGGTTGTCTAGGAAGTCACTCGATAGACCAGGCTGACCTCAAACTCTTAGACACCCATCTGTCTCTACTTGCCAAGTGCTGGGATTAAAGGTGTGTGCCACCATGCCTGACATCATATTAATATGTATAAAATATTTCTGAAATAAACATCAGAGAATGTAGTAAGTAGTTTAAATGTAACCAGCTCCCGTAAGCTCATAGGAAGTGTCACTACTGGGAGGTATCACTTTGTTGGAGCAGATGTAACCTTACTGGAGGAAGGTGTCACTGTGAAGGCAGCCTGTGAGGTCTCATATACGTCCAAGCCATGCCCAAGATCTCAGTTCATTTCCTATTGCCAGTGGATAAAGATATAGAATTCTCAGCTCCTTCTCTACCACCATGCCTGCCTGCATGCTGCCATGCTTCCCACCATGATGATAATGGACTAAACCTCTGTTGCTAGGAGAGAGGACCCTTTGTTTGTCCCAGCTGCCCAGCTAGCTTATACCCGAAATAATCACACAGAAACTGTATTAAAACATTGCTTGGCAATTAGGTCTAGCTTCCTATTAGGTAACTCTCACATCTTGATATAACCCATTTCTATTAATCTGTGTTTACCATGAGGCTGTAACTTACCAGGAAAGATTTAGCATGTCTGACCTGGCATCTCCATGGCAGTTCTCTCTCTCTTTCTCTCTCTCTCTCTCTCTCTCTCTCTCTCTCTCTCTCTCTCTCTCTCTCTCTCTCTCTCCTTTCTTCTTCCCAGCATTCAGTTCTGTCTTCTCCACCTACCTAAGTTCTGCCCTATCAGGCCTATCAAGCAGTTTCTTTATTGATTAACCAATAAAAGCAACACACAAACAGAAGGGCCCCCTACATCAAACCTCTAAACTTTAAGCCAGCCAATTAAATGTTTTTTTTTATAAGAGTAACCATGGTCATGGTGTCTCTTCACAGCATTAGAATCCTTAGCTAAGACAAAGAACAATTAAAAGGAGATATATTCTGGTTAGAAATGGTAAATTGTGTCCATTGTTGTATTAAAAGAAAAGTGAAAACAGTACCTTGAAAGCAAGTTCCAAAAATGAGCATGTACTTGTGGCAAGATATCTAGGACAATTTTGGCTACACATTGGATTTTGTTATAGTAAAGCTCACTGAAGAAGGTACAATTGTTCTTGTATGGAATCTGTAAGGCAAGAGCTAGGGGATCACATGCTAGAATGACATTCAGACAATTCTTGACAAATATCCCATATGAAAAGCAGGGGAAAGAGTCAGTTCCTTCCCAGGGTTAAGGGAGGGAGCAACTAAGACCTCAAACCAAGAAGGTCCTTTTTCATCAAAAAACCTACAACTATAATAAGATTCTGCCCATCCATTAAAACTGAGATATCTAGGAAAATTGTCTTCTTTATCCCCCTGCATTCTAATTAAAGCTTAAAAAGAGGGTAAGGTCATTAAAATACAAGACCTATCCTCACTAGCATCAGTAGATGATTCAGTTCACCTTCTCTGAGGAGTGGTTGGGGGCGGGGCAGGTAAGTGAAGGGAATAAGAGGAGGGAAGGAAGTGGGAACTGGTAACGGTATGTAAAATAAAAAAGAATAGCTTGTTTTCTTTATAAAAAAAAAAGAAATTTTAAAAAGAAAGGAAAAAAACCTCATGTTGCACATTTATAAATCTTTTCTTTGATGATCCAAGAATAAATAAATAAAAAGGAGTTTCAGTTCAATAACTATCAGCCAATCAGTCCTAAGTGAAAAACATGGTTTCACAGATGTTCATGAATAAATGGTCCAAAGTGAGAACTTCAGGACACCAAAGAAGAACCTGTCCCTCTTTGTAGTACAGTACCCTAACTATTATGGAAAGAAAATTACTTGAGATATTTAGGATCAGAGGTTTCAAAGGAAGGACTATGCAGGAAGTAAAAAATACATGTAGGATAATCATGACAGCATTGTGGTAACATTAACTCAATAAGATTCTGTTAGAGCAGTGGTTTTCAACCTTCCTAATGCTGAACCCCTTTAATACAGTTTCTCCTGTTGCGATGAGCCCTAACCATAAAATCATTTCTGTTGCTACTTCTTAAATATAATTTAGCTTCTGTTTATAAACCATAATATTAAAAGTTTTGGAGATAGACGTTTGCCAAAGGGGTTACAACCCACAGGACAAGAACTACTGAATTAAAGTAAAGCTTCTTAAATCTGAGTGTGCATAAAATCCCACAATGAGCTGAGGAGCTATTGGTGTTTCTAGCTGCTGGGAGAGGGAGTGTCAGCTCTCTTTAATGATGTGATGCATGGTAGATTGTCCATATACGAGGGCAGGCCCCACCCCCAAGGCTTGATTGGCACCAGAAACTAGACTCAATGGGGAAAGATGAGAGAAAAAAGAAAATTTCTCAAAGTTTATAGGAAAAGAATGGAATGGTAAAGGGAAGAACTGTTGGAAAGAGAAAGGTTTTTGTTAAAATACATTGAATGAAATTCTCTAATAATAAATATTGCTAAAAATCTTACTATGCAAAAAAACAATAAATGAACACAAAATTCAGAGATATGAACCAAGAGCCAAGTCCTGGACTAAATTGTTGTCAGGGTTTCCATCCTCCCCAGTTCCCGCAATCATTATGTCCCAAAGAAATCACACAGAGGTCTACATTAGTTATAAACTGATTGGCCCATTAGCTCAGGATTCTTACTAACTCTTAGAATTCATATTAGCCCATTCTTCTTCTTTTTTTTTTTTTTTTCAAAACAGGGTTTCTCTGTGGTTTTGGAGCCTGTCCTGGAACTAGCTCTTGTAGACCAGGCTGGTCTCGAACTCACAGAGATCTGCCTGCCTCTGCCTCCCGAGTGCTGGGATTAACCGGCACACTTCCTCCAACAAGGACACAGATTCTCCAACAAGACCATACCTCCTAATAGTACCACTCACTATGGGTCTGTAAGGAGCCTTTTTATTCCAAACCACTATAGTCTGGCCAAAAAAAAAAAAAATCAGAGGTGCACAATTGCTTTCTCTGCTTCTTAAAGGAAACAGACAAGAATAAGCACTTTCTTGCCAACAAATACATACTTATACATACTATATATACATATATAGTTGCACATTTATACACAGTAAAAGAGAGTGATATCAAAGAGAAAATATCTTTTCTTTCCAAAAAAACTATCTAATCTCTATTAAAATACAACCAATACTAAAAGAAAATGAAGTTTTCAAAGAATTAGAAATAGATTTTGTGCACCACTCCTGAGTATTCATGTAAGAGAAGTGATTGCTGTGTCTCAAGAAGATAGCAGTGAAGGGTAATTATATATGAAGCAGCAACCTAGGAACCAACTAATAGATTTTAGTTAACAATAACAGTCTATCCATACAAAAACATATATATATAGCTAAGCCTTAAAATATAGGGGATAAGGACACATGATAATAGCCTATAAGAACCATAATGCTATCACAAAAAAAGTAAAATAATATGAAAATACCATAGGGATCATTATTGTAACTAGACTAGTCAAAATTATGAGAACATAAACATAAGTTACAGTAAATTAGAAAAAGGGAAAAAAGAACATTGGATTTAATTATTACAAATTTGTTTTTTAATATTATAGTGAAAAAGGGTGACTGTGTTCTAAGGCTGTTTGAGCATGTACATATGTGTAATACAGAACTGTAACCTTATAAATGGCTACAGCTCTACATCTTATATGTGGATGCGAATAGTTTTAAAGCACCCAGTAGTCTAATAATGTCTAATGTTGCTCAGTTTCTTCCTTTAGATGTTGGTGTCAGTTTTGATGCAGGTTGTTTGGTGTTGCTGTTTTTTTTTAAATGATGGATTGATATTTCATCAACAGGAAATAGAAGACTTTGTCCAGTCTTCTGGAGAACATGGTGTTGTGGTATTTTCCCTGGGGTCCATGGTGAGTAACCTAACAGAAGAAAGGACCAACATTATTGCAGCAGGCCTCGCGCAGATTCCACAGAAGGTGAGATACAGTGCCTCAGAGATTCATTCTCACTAAGATGGTCATATCCTGTTCATGTGTGATTGCAGAAATCTCCTACGGGAAACTAAAGGTGTTGTGCTAGCTATACCTCATGTCTGAAGTCACCTGTGACACAGAAATAGGGGACAAATGCTAATAGTTTGTCTTGTAAGATATATTTTGGGGTAAATTCTCTCATGGTTCAGCCACAATGAGTTCATACATTCCAGGGTAGGGGTATATGGCTTAGAAATGTTAGATAGGAGGAGCAGAGATACAAAGGAAATACAGAGATACAGGATAGTACTGGGAGGACAATTCAGTGAATACTGAATTTGCCAAAATTTACTTTTTATAAGCTTTATAACCTAATACAAAAAAGGGAAGAAGGCAATAGATTACTTTAACATGACACAAACTTACACATGAATGAAAATAATTCCTTCTTTTTAAAATGGGATTTCTGCTATTCTAGATTTACTTTTATTTTATCATATATGTATGTGTATATATATATATATATATATATATTGATCAGTGATTCTCAACCTTCCTAGTGCTTTAATACAGTTACTTATGTGGTGGTGACCCCCAGCCAAACAATTGCTTTTGCTACTACTCCATAACTGTAATTTTGCTAATGTTATGAATTATAAGTAAATATGTAATATTCCTGATGGTCTTAGGCAACCTCTGTGAAAGGGTCATTCGATCCCCAAAGGGTTCAAAAACCCAAGGGTTGAGAACCATTGGTTTAGATGATTGTTTTTTTCCTAAAAACAGAGAGAAAGAAAGTATGGATTTGAATAGAAGGGGAGATAACAATCAGGGGAGGGTTTAGAGAAGAAGAAACCATAAACAGAAAATATTATATGAAGAAAACTTCTTTAAATAAACAAAATATAAAATATATGTTTAAAAACTGGAATGGGTATTAAATCATCCTTTGTAATCTCGGCCAAATATGATCAACCACTTTTTTTATTTAGATAATGTTTTTTATGTGTTTTAAAAACCAACTGCATTTTCCATCATCCACATTTCAAAATGGGCCTAGTCATGGTACTGCTTGCTCTGCTATTCAAAAAAAAAAAAAAAGAAGTATGTAGGACAGGATTTACCAACCTCAATTCCAACTGGGGTCTTAGTCTATGAATTCTGAAACAAGGGGTAACTTGGGAACTTGCTCTTGAAGTGACCATATGCCACAACACAAGGGTCTAATCTAGTAAAATACTGATGATAGAAGTGATTATATGTGAACTAAATCAAATACCAAGGGCAAGTACTTATAGTGAAATTGGAAAATAAAAGTTATAAATATATGCTGAAAAAAAAAACAAAACCTGGTATATATTTGTAACTTTGAAGGAATTTTTGTTAAACTGGAATTACATTCACACTGTTCTTAACTCCTTCTGCTTAACATTACTGGGCCTAACTTTACCTAAGTTGCTGTTGATTAAACGTTAAGGTGCCAGGCTGAAACTCAGAGACTAACTGCAGGACAGTGAGGAAAACTTGCATCCTTGCTGTAGTTGTTCTTCACTGTTCACATCATCCATCCTCACTGCCTGGCCCTTAGGGACTGGCGTTTATCACCATTGATTCTTAATATCTCCAGAAATCTAGCAGGAGGAACTTGACATTTGACCAAATAAGAAGCTAGCTTCATCTTAACAGGTTCTTTGGCGATTTGAAGGCAAGAAGCCAGACACCTTGGGCTCCAACACTCGGCTGTACAAATGGATCCCCCAGAATGACCTTCTCGGTAAGTATCAGGAGACACCTGAGACATAGGAATGGCTGCTCAGGAGAGGGGAGTCAACACTAATGCATTTATGACAACTGTGATCTAGTCCTGGAGAAAACAGATGAAGGACTAATGTGAATATGCTGGACAGACAGTACCATTCGAGATAGGAGGATCCATTTTTACCTCACTGTAATTACTTTTCAGGTACATTTAAATCACTTTTCCCCTCCATTTCTTATTTCTATCAACTTACATCTCCCTGTTCCCCTTACTGTAGGGCAATTTCATATCAGTGGGAATGGTATTCTTTCATTAATGGCTCTTCATTTACTCTGCTCCCCTGAAGACCCCACAACATGAAATGGTCCTACACATGGTGAAGTATTGACTACCCTCCGTCTGATTCCATCAAAATGAACACCCAACGCCTACTGTGTGGAGCCAACCTGTCCAGAGCAGTGGCTTCTCTGTTACTTTAGAACATTCTCTCCTGAACCACTGACTGTGCTTGCACATGCTGTTTGCTCCACTTGGTTGGAGCTCTGCCGTTTTCGTCCATTACACAAAATCTTTCTATTTTTCACACTCTGCCTCCACTCTGTGCTTTCACTGAATTGCTGTGGAGTTGCTGTGCTCCTTGTGCTAAGACATGAAAGGAATTCAGTACAGTCCCATGGTCATGATAATGTTGTGTAGAGAATTTTTGCCTTTTCTGTGCCTTTTTCCCTGACTCACTTTTTTTTCTAGAGTTATAATTAATACTTGCCCTTAATTTCTCTCCTTGCTAGGTCATCCTAAAACCAGAGCCTTTATTACTCATGGTGGCACCAATGGCATCTATGAGGCGATCTACCATGGGATCCCTGTGGTGGGCATTCCGTTGTTTGGAGACCAGTTTGACAATATTGTTCACATGAAGGCCAAAGGAGCAGGGGTTCGACTGGACTTTCTCACAATGTCCAGCACAGATTTGCTCCGTGCAGTGAAGACAGTCACTAATGACCCTTCGTGAGTATACTGATTTTTTAATTCGTAGTGTTTAAGATAAATTTCCTAAACAATAACTGTTGATTTCATCTAATATTTATTCTAATTTTGAAGAAAAACTATTATCCACTGTTGAATGAACTTTTATTGTAAACCAAGACTCAAGCTATCCCCTAGACTTACTGTACAAGAACTTAGTTTACAAGAATTTGGCACTGGGACCCTTTTTCTCTTGCTAAATGAAAAGACACAAATGCCTCAAAGATGATCAAATCAACAAACAGCATATTAAGTCTGAAAGACAGAAAATGTATCAATTCAATGTCTATAGTTTTCAAAACTCCTATTGTTAAACAATCCACATTTATTCAAGAGTAGCTAATTATACATGCATACATACATAGATAAAATATATAAAGCATAATCAGGATACTCACATTTCCATCTCCTTAAACCTTTAGTATCTCATTTGTTCAATGTTCCCCTTCCACTTCTTATTAAACTTGTATATTGTAGCTCACGGTCGCTGCCTCTGCTATAGTGCACTATCCTGCTATCCAGTGGTAGGACATACCTGTGAGCTGACCTCTCTCTCGCCCCATTCCCTCCCTCACTTCCCAGACTCCAGTTACCACTGCTCTACTCTCTACTTCTATGAAGTCAGCTCTAGTATTTTCCACACAGTGGTCAGAATGTGCAATGTTTTCTCTTAGGATCTGGTTTACGTGACTTAATAAAACATCCTCCAATTGCATCTTGTAACTGTAAATGTCTTCTTTGTAATGGCTAAATAATATATATCTTTGTTATTATGTAATATAAAACATATTCAGTATTTTTATATCACTTTTTAAGCCATCATCCCACAATGGGCACCTCAGTCAATTCACTTAGCTATTATGGCTAGTGCAGCAATAACCATGGACATGCAGGTATCTATTTGATAGATTATTTACTATTTCTTTAAATAGACTCCTAGTAGTCAGAAAGTTAAAACCTGGGTATTTCTCTTTTCAGTATATTTAGAAAATCTGTGGATTTTTTTTCATAGTGTCCATACCATATTACACCCTAACCAATCTCAGTAAGATTTCCACTTTCTGACATGAACATGTGGATGACTGGGAAACGGTTCTTGACACCAGTCCTAGCCGCATGAGTTCAATCTCTGGAATTCATGTAGTGGAGGAAGTGAACTGACTCCTACGAGTAGTCCTCACACGTGTACATGAGTGTACATGTAGGCACACACATACCACATAGAAATGTGCTTTTAAAAAGAACCAGACTTTTCTCTCCATGCCTGGCAAGCAATATTTGGATATTGTGTTTGTGTTGAATTCAGGCTGTTGGGTATTACAGGGAAGCTATCAGTGAGCTATATCCTCAATATTTATATCATCTTTTGAAAAACACGTATTTTTCTCATCATTGATCAGTTTTTAATAAGTGATAATAAGGATTTTTTTTGGTGAGAGTTTAAAGAATTCCATGGCATAATCTGTCCTCAAAAGCATCTGTTCATTCTGCTTTCAACTATAATAACACTTCGAGTGGTTGAAATGGCTTAATAACATTTAATGTCCTGAAAAGATTTAGTTCTCAAAATTAGGTTCCATTTCATTTTTGAAAAGTACTTCTCAGAGAATACCAATTTGCAGGCTAACTTTCAAACATGCCCTACCCCAAGCCATACCTCTCCTTCTGCTCTTGTATGACAATATTCAATCTCATTATGCTTTCTCGAATCTTTCACGGGCCTAATGCTCTTCAGTAAATTAACCAACATTCAATGTTGATGTTTTTGTGCTTCTGCTTCACATCTGTCTTTAGCTATAAGGAGAACGCCATGCGGCTATCAAGAATCCACCACGACCAGCCAGTGAAGCCCCTGGACAGAGCCGTCTTCTGGATTGAGTATGTCATGCGCCACAAGGGAGCCAAGCACCTTCGTGTGGCAGCTCATGACCTCACCTGGTACCAGTACCACTCTCTGGATGTGCTTGGATTCCTGCTTGCCTGTGTGCTGACTGTGATGTTCGTCATCACAAAGTGTTGCCTCTTTTGCTGCCAGAGATTTACTAAATCTGGAAAGAAGCAGAAAAGGGAGTAGCTGAAGTGAGGAGGACTGGCACATGGACCTGCTCCAGTGCATCACAGCAAGGGAGGCGGTGGGGGTAGGGTCCTTCATCCTGTGACAAGGCCACTTCTGAAGTGGTGGCTTAGATTAATGTAGACAAATTGTGTAGGTATTTGCACAACTTTAATGAAAACAAGACTCACGAAACCAAGG